TATATATATATATCACACCTTCTCACACACATACACATATAACATAGGGGTTTGTGTGTATATATATATATATATATATAGATATATATATATAAAATATATATATATATACATATATATATATGCATATATTTAAATATAGTGAATGTACATATATACATACACACACACATATATATATATATATATATATATATATATATGTGTGTGTGTGTGTGTGTGTGTATACATACGCCGGGATATATAAACAGTGTAAAATTTGTCAAAATCTTACACTTTAAAAAGTGCTCATTTTCATGTAGGAAAAAGAAACTTGCAGAGCGATTTAATATCTTAAAAAGATAAGAACGCTGACCGGACGATTACCGCGGCTTCCAATTTCGTCCGGTGGTATGTTCAGCGAATTAAAAAATTTAAAAAATGTTAAAAATTATTTCAACTTTATCCATGTTCGTATACCCCCAAAATTCCCTTTCTGACGTGTCTACATATTGCCATGATCGCAGACGCCCCGTTCAATAACTCAGTACTACCTTTGTATGTTGCTATAGCAAGCTTTTCCTCCAAACAGCTTTTTTCTATTCACCTTACTATATTACGTAAAATATTCCATTTAATGACCGGCTTCTTTTATGCTTATCCCTAAAGCTCCACCATGATTTGCCAGCTTCTTACTGAATTTACGTTCTGGAATTCGAAAAGATGACGTATGGTTATCCCACCTTCTCTTAAAATGGCGCTCAGTGCAAGCAATGTATATTTTACACTAGTATTGTCACTTTCCAACTCGGCAAAGTACGACTCGTTTTGTACAAATTATCCTATTTAATGTACACATATTTTTCATCTACATTTCCAAACGACATTGTTGTCACCTCTCACGTTTTCTTCAAGCTTTGAATTTTTATTATTCCATCTTTTGAAAATATTGCCTATGATTCTAGTGCGGTCGAAACCGTGGCAGTGTTTCATTTAGCGTTCTTACCCTCTCACGTTATATCTATATATATATATATATATATATATATATATAATCTATGTAATAACATTCTGTTACATTTCCATAGAAAAGACGTAAAATGATCTCTCAATCTCTCCCACCTTTCTCTCTCTCTTTATATATATATATATATATATATAATACATATATATGTTCTTGTCTTTTGCTTGCCATCTCTCTCAAACTCAATCTCTCTCTCTCTCTCTCTCTCTCTATATATATATATATATATATATATATATATATATATATATATATATATATATATATATATATGTATGTATGTGTGTGTGCGTGTATGTTTGTGTTTATTTGTGTGTATGTGTATGTGACTTTTCACGTTCTAGTCTTTTTGCAAATGGGAGAAAATCAGGTTATCTTATGCGCTTCTCCAACTAATGAAGTCAAATTTGGAGAATTTCACTCAGAATTGTGCCTAAGCCGATTTACAGTCGGAAAATCGAACGAATAATTGTGCTCAGTTTTCTTATTAGTATGAGTGCCTCTCGTGACCATAGTTTTGAAATTAGTGGGAATTTTACGTTGTTTAACTTGAATATTCACAAGAGGTCATAAACCAACCATAGTTGATTTGACTTTTCAGTTTTAACTGGAACTCCCTTACATATTGTCTTCTTCTTAAAAAGTCAACTGCATCATTTCCCGAGCAGTAAATTAAGTGTAGCTTACACATTTCAAGGTAGATTGATTAGTAATATTAAATGTATTAATAGTCCTGTAAAATATGCTTAGACATATAGGTTACGTAATGGTTAACGAACCGGGAAAACGAAGTTGTTGAGCGGAGTACAAGATCGCTATGTACACTTTCGTACAGAGACTCTCGTGGAAAGTTTGATAGCATCTCTTCTCACTACCCCCAGCTATGAGTTAAATAACAGGGCAGATTGGGAAGCTTTGCCTTGATTGGCATCTCTGAATTCAAATCCAGAGATTGTCTCCTTTAATTTCCGTGTTGTCGTTAGAGCCAATTACTCTTCTTACTATCATGAATGGACAGATACATTCCTGATAAGTAGTCCTGGGTAATTT